TCAGGAGTTTTGCTTTTCTAGCAAAAAAAAATGAAGCTATGGGAAGTATGTTTGATCTTAATAGACATTCCCTAGAGGGAAGCAGTTAAAAAGCCTTTGAACTGTATAAATGCTATTTAATGTTCTTGCCGGTATCCAGATGCATCCTTTTATTAGAGAGCTTTGTAGTACCTGTGAATACAGATAATTGAATATGCATAGCAAAGACTTTTCAGGACATAGGAAAAGGACAATGTTTCAGTTTGTATCTTGCCACCACACATGCATAGCCTCCATTATCAACTCCTCCACTAGAGTGGCAAATTTGTCACAGCCCAGCCTAAACTAGCACATCATCACCCAGTGATGATAGCTTGCATAAAGGGTCATTTTTGGTGTTGTGGTCTCATGGTTGTGGTCTCACTTCCCTCTGAACTGTGCTGTGAGTTCCCAGCACAGCTACAGACTGTGACACTTGTCATTAAATAAGCAGTTGCAAAGATTATTAATCATACAGAGGAATTTGTTTTTTCGAGACTGCATTAAGAGGAAAGAAATAAATGGCAAGAAACTCTTCTGAGGCACAGGAGCCTGTACATCACAAGTTCCATCAGGAGCAATGGTCTGCACACTCTAAGATGAGAGGGGCTGAGTGACAAAAGGTGATAGATGACTTCCCCAGGGCAAATAAAGACATGACTTTCTATTTCATGTTCCACTTGCAGATTTGACAACTATATTACTTCTAACATGTGTCAGAGAGTGGTACCCTAGAAAAAATGAGTTTCAGTTAGACTTTTGAAAGGAGAAATGAGGAGAGATGTATTTTTTCCAGGTAGAGGTTGCTGGAGATGAAGGCATAGGTGTAGTAGAAGAAAAGATGCACCAATGTAAGTGAAGATTAATTTGTGCAGCAAAGGAGAACTTATTAAAGTGGTTTATAGGATAACTGTTCTTTCCTTTTACTTTTTTCAAATAAGGATTTTGTTTATATATTATGAAAGATGATTTTTGTGAAATGCATTTATTTTGAAGTGCTACATCATGCTGCCTGTTAAGGCCATTTTCTGAATAGGAGGAGTGTTTTAGATCATCTATCCAACTGGTCATGGCTGCTTGGTGCTGCTGTTCTTCAGCATGTCAACATGGCCATTCGGTTGTGGCTTGTGGATATGTCTACCATCATCCACTGATACCCATGCAGTAGTGGGGGCTCTAGTATACAGCAGTGTTTTACTTTAGGATGATTAGATATTGAATTTTATGTTTTGCACATGAGCAAACTTTTTATTTTAGTAACCATCAGTACTGTTGCAGGCAACCCTAGACAAAGAAATACAGGCAGCTGAGGGATGCTAGGAGCAGGAGAAATAGGCTTCTCCAGGGACTAGTCTATACATACAAAATGATCATCCCTGAAAGCATACAAACAAGTAACATTAGCCACAACAAACAGGCTATATTTATATATTTAGTATATGTGTACAACAACAGTTAAAGAAATAGAGGCCATGAATTTGAAATAGAGAGCAAGGAATATACATGGGAAGGGTTGGAGACAGGGGGAAATGATATAATTTAATGTCAAAAAAGAAAAACTAATAGGGCTCCTTTAGTTTGGTTGTTGGATCTAATTCTAATTATGGAAGTACCAATGGGAGCTGTGACCTTACTGTACTAATGTGCAATGGAAAAGAAAGCCTGAGGCCACAATTCTAGTATGAACTTCAAAAAGATCGACCTCCTCCAATTCAGTATGTAAGAAAAATCCTGTGATGCTTAAAGAAACACAACTTTTCAAACTGAAGCAATTGTAAACTAATTCAATCTGAACATGTCTTCTTTTTCCAGAAACAGATGTTTGAAACAAATCATGGATTGGTACCATTTTGTGGTCCCTCCTCTTTGATGGCACATGTTCAGTGTCTTGGGCATATTTGGAGGCCACTTCCACTCCTCAATTGCTGTTTACTTCGTACAGATTTTTAAAAGTAGCTGCCATTGATCATTTTCATCATCTATCATACATATTGATAAAATATTTACTAAGCTGTAACTATGTGTGGGATTCCCCAAGCTCTACCAAATGTTTGACTGAGTCTCTGCAACTGTTCCCATCAGTTGCTAGATGAAGCTGATGAAAATTGGGCTACGTACCAATCTATATCTGTAACAGACTATCATTAAGCATCATCACATTGACTTTTTATGCCAGTTGGATTTGGTTCTATCCTAGGTCCTTGTGCTATCCAGACTCTGGATCCTGGCCCTCCAGACAGTGTCGGGGTGGGCTTCTTCTAGTGGTATGTGTCTCAGTCTGGACTGGTCACTGTTTGGCCACTCCCACAATTTCTGTGCATCTTTTTTACCCCAGAACATCTTGTAGGCAGTAAAATTGTTGATTGAAGGTTACGTGGCTAGAGTCTTCATGGGGCTGACCTAAGCCCTCTGCATATATGTTACAGTTATGTAGCTGGGTCTTAGGTGGGACTCCTAACAGTGTGATGGGGAGCTGTCTCTAACCCTTTTGCTGCCTTTTGGGACCCCATTTATCAGACTGAGTTGCCATGTCCAATACCAGGGAGGTGCCTAGTCTTACTGTAACTTGGTACGCCATGTTTGGTTGATATGCCCTGACCTTTTCTGTATAGAAACAGAGGAGGAGGAGAGGAGGGGAGTACAGAGGTGGGGGGACTGGGAAGAGAGGAGGGAGGGGAAGCTGCCACCGGGATGAGATGAAAAATAATAAAATAATCATTATATTTTAAAATTCAAAATAAATAAAACCCAAGATCACCTTTTAAATAAGTTCTTATGGAGCTGAAGCGATGGAGCAGCAGTTAAGAGCACCTGTTGTCTTGCAGAGGACCCACGTTCAGTTTCCAGCATCCATACAGGTGGCTAGCTACCTGTAATGCCAGTTCCAAGTGATCTGATGCTCTCTGACTTCTTTAAACACCCATACACATATGGTACACATAAACACAATAAATCAACCAATCAATCTTTTCAATATAAGGGCTCAAGGCTCCAGGCACACACGCTGTCTGCATACATGCACACAGGCAGAACACTCACACACACAAAATAAAATCAATAAATTAAAAAATTGTTAAAAATGAAAATGTTTACCAGCTATCATATACTAACTTAG